TTTCTTCAAAAACAAATGCCTATTTCGTTTTCTAATAGTATAAAATCGTAAATAATGTCTCTTGTGAATTAAAAGCTGACATATTGTAAATGCTTGTCTGTTTTTCTCCAACTTGTGGTTGGTGATTGCCCTATGGAATCTTTTGCCCCTCTTATTTTACTTATAATTAACATTTATAAATATAGCAATACTTTACATGCTTGTTTCCATCATTTTCTACATGTTAATGGGAAATATCTCAGCAACGTGAATTAACCTTATGTCTTAATGTCAGATTTAAGTGGATTTGAATATTTTGCATGATTTTGCACTCTTATGCAACTCGTAATGTAATTAAGTAACCCTTGATTTTAATTGACATTTGTGTACATGTAGAACTCTACAGGAATTGCAAGGAAATTGATTATAAAAGATAACATAGCTAAGTATTTTACATGCAGTCCCCAGTTTTATCTAATTACAGTTTCCTGATTACAAAAACTTAAAATTCAGAACTGAAAGCTTCTTAATAAACGAACAATAATATTATCGCTAGGTTTTAATTTTTCAGATGAGAAAAACTTGATGTGTTTTAAAGACCGCATGTTGACATAAAATGATGGACGTAAATCAACTTTGAATATATATTATTTTTACATTTACGTATGTTCAGTGTATCTTGCATATAGTTTACCTGTTAATTTACAAGTATATGACCAATTGAATATGTAAAATCCATTATCTGATTTTGATACGCCCGTCATCGAGTACGCCATGTTTTCGCAAGTTGTAACCAATTTCTGAACAGAATGTTAGGATTTATAAAATAACGATGAATTTTGATTTAGACGACTATCAGATTTGTCGTTCAAGAATTATTAAACTTGTATCAAAATAAAGTAAATATCCGTTTAGTTCGTTTGATTTGAGTGATCGTTATCAAAGGAAGAGATATCACGACAGCTATCATTTGGCCCCAAATATTGCCAAAAAGTAAAATTCTTCAATCCTAACAAAATCATATTTATTTCACTGAAGAATCAAAAGGATAATATAGCATGGTCATTTAAGTATTGAAATGTTGTTTGTGATAAAATTGAGAATGGAAATGGGGAATGTGTCAAAGAGACAACAACCCGACCATAGAGTCACTTTGATGCCATAAGCCTGTCTCGATAAACACATTGGACAAAACATGACTATTCTATTGAAAGCCCGGAATTGGTAATCTTACCCGGACGTGAAAGTACTATATCAAACTTGTACATGGTTCGGGGTCCCATATGGTTTTCCATACTATTTGAAGTAGTATGATTTTTGGTGGGAAATTAAAATGTAAACACATAAAAAAGTTCTATGCTTACATAATGTTTCGCGAGATGCGAACGTGGTCTACCAAAGACTCGTCGATGCCGCTTGAATCAAGTTAGTTGAAAGTTCAATTAAGTACGAAGTTTTGGAGTATATTGAAAATCAAATATTCCAAAAAAAGTTGTGTCAAATATGGCTAAGATCATTTATGCCTGAGGGAAGAAAAATCCTTAATGTTTCGAACAATTCAAAATTTCATAAGCAAGACATTAAAATCATTTTTTGTAGCAATAATATTTCATATCAACACAAGTGCTGACTACTGGACTGGTAATATCCTCGGGCATGAAACGTCAAACAGCAGTGGCATCGATCCAGTGGTTGTAAAATCTCATCAAATATACAAGGATAATAATTTGGTTTGCAAGACGAGCGTTTCGTCTACATAAGACTCACCAGGCGATATTCCAATAGGTAATAATTGTGCACCACAACTTGCCAATTTGTTTTTGTATTCATTAAGGCTATACTACCAAATTGAGGAAGTTTGATTCATCCTTAGACGTCTTTTTTTTTCAAATGGACACAGATGGACAACTTCAAACTAGGATGTATGACAAACGAGTCGATTTCATCTTTCCAATTGTCTACTTCCCAATTCTCAATAAGTTATAATATAACATCTACCAAGTCGTATGTCGTTTACTTATCTCCGTTGACACATTATACGGGCTTAATTAGCAGAGACGTGCTTCTAATACAAAAACTCCTCCTGCAAACGCCACCACACAAGTTTTACAGTGACCATTGAGAACCGGTTGACCGATACGATATATCTGTGTCTTAACTCATGATAAACTTCGATCTTCAGACACCAGTATGGTCTTCTGATCTGTAAATCAATCAATCGATTGTGTCTTACTCCCTATCGTGACATGTTAAACTGGGTTTGGATTCGCATGGCGGTTGATACAGGAATAGGAGGCGACGCTTACCCTGCCGACACACCCTGTATATTCTGTTTGGAGTTATGCGATTACCTCACGTTGACGTTTTTGCGCATGATTTGTATACTAGTATTCAAAAGGGATAAATCTTTGACTTTTGAACATCGGTAAACTACAATTACCTATCTCTTATTTAGAAAACAAAACTCCAACGTATGAACCAACAAATACTCTTATATAAATGTTAATATTACTCATATGCATCTTTTTACTACCAACCTATTTGGCAAAACTGAAAATACACTTTTAAACAATAAATTAGGCCATCTTTAATAATTAAACATTTTCAAATTGATATTTAATTGTTTTAACTAATAGTTAATATGAGAAATGCTTTATTTACCAAAAAAAAACATATTTTATATAGTTTACCGTGTAATTATGCCTGATAAGAAAAAAATCATATTTTAGGGTAAAATAAGGTTCTTCCATGTGCTATTTTTGGGGGTTGTGGTTCGATACTAACTGAGTAGAATAGGATTTAAATAAAGTTGGTTTTGTAATTTTGGTAGGATAAATTTTCCAACGAGCAAATAAAAAAAAGTATTTGGCTAATAATAATCTGACAAATTGTTTTGAAACCCATGATCTCTTTGTGATAAATCAAACGATAGAAAAATTGTTCGGTATATAAAGGTAGTAGGATGACAATATAATAAGAAAATGTCTGATTTAAAAACAGATCCAATGGCCATGCTGGAAGACACCTGACACAGGTTCAGTATTTTAATCATTGTACTTTTCCCCACCTGTTTCAAATTAAACATTTTTAGGTTGCAACTAATTAATAAATGATGTTCTTCCAGACTAACGTACCAATCAATACGCATCCAACTGATTTAATGTAAAAACATCATCAACAGTCTGGACAAAGCATGACCTAGTGCAATGGAAAAATATAAGTAAACATTTTATCGACAGAATATCATGAGTATCATGCTTTGACAATGTGCTTTTGAATTGTGACTCAAAACTAAACTATCTGAAATACGTCATTGTCAGACACAAATAAACTTGTATGTATTTGAATTGTATTTTAATCCAAATATTGCTAATGATTTATCATTATTAATAATGTTTACTAAAATCAATAAATTGAGTAAACTAATAGATTAATCAATTTTTATCATTTTTAAAATATAAAGTAATCAGAAGCGTGAAAAGTATACTAGCAATTGATGAAAATTAACCATTAACTAATCCCTGCTTGTTAATCGTAAAATATGAAATATATTCAATATATTCAATGGCATGTCGGCTGTCATAAATCATGTTCTAAATGATGAATTTAATTTTAAATTAGGATTCCAATATGATGACAATAAAATGTTTCCATTTGTTGCTTATAATTTTAACCCAAAACGTTAGCTTCCGGAGCACCTGAGATCACCCCCAGTTTTTGGTGGGGTTCGTGTTGCTTAGTCTTTAGTTTTCTATGTTGTGTCATCTGTACTTTTATTTGTCTGTTTGTCTTTTTATTTTTGGCCATAGCGTTGTCAGTTTTGTTTTCGATCTATGAGTTTGACTGTCCCTCTGGTATCTTTCGTCCCTCTTTTAGCATTTTTTATTAATAATTTGTTGTTCATTGGCTACTATTAACCATCAATGCAAAATTGACATGTGTTACTAAGGAATTAGCCGCCATATTGACTTTCTAAAATCCATGAATGTCTGATTAATGCAATAGAATCTAAAATGGAATACCATTTACCTCAAAATTTTCATTTAAATGAGATACCATCCGAATTTTAAGCGAAAAGTAACAGAATAACCTTAAGCACCAAGAACTTCATGTTTTTCCATGCCGTTAATGCACCAAGATCATTTATGAAATTTCGCAGAATTTTATTTAATTTTGATTTCATACTATTTCCAAGCTTTAATGCATTATTTCTTTTTCTAATAAATTAGAAGCCTCCCCTCTTAGAATATAAATAGCAGTTCTGTAATCTCAATTTGCATGGAGCTCATTCATGGTTCCCATGCAGGTGTATCGCGTATAAATAGATCACAGTGAAGGTTACGAAAATAGTTTCGGCACCCTGGTATATCTAAGTGAAAACCAAGGAAAAACATTCTAACGGATCAATCCGATTCAAGTATTTATAGATATGCAAATCATAATAATTATACATATATCAACCTTTTATATGACGTCACGATTACTAATTCCTACACAGGCGAAATATCTCTGAGTGTTCACGAAATATTTGATATTGTCATAATTTTCAGTGAATTTTATTGAAATTATTAGAAGTAAAGGTTATCTACACGGAGTTCAATAATTTTCAAAAACGGCCTTTAACTCACAAAATTAGTCATTCGGACTTCAGTTTGCGAATGAGTTAGCCGAGTTTACACATAAATAAACTCCTTAACACGAAACACGTGAAAAGATATATGAGCAAAAAATAGCATAGATAACATTAAAATAGCAAGACCATAATTCTTCTTTATTTTATTTGAAATAAAAAAAACACAATTTGACATACGGTTTCTATACTATTGTATTATAGTTTATTTACGTTCATTTTCTTCTCCTTTTCATCGTGATACGCTGTCCAGTTACAGAATATTCAATCAAAATATGCCTATAAAGGCTAATCATGCTATGCAATAATTATAGATTATAACATGCCCTTTTCCATATTGGCCCTGGTATCATCCTGAGACTCCCATATCAGCCCGAGGTTTTAGCCGAGGGATGATATCAGGGCCAATATGAAAAAGACATGTTATAATCTATTTATCGCATATTTAAGTTCTACATAAAAGAGAAAAAAACGTCCAATTATAACTACTTAATTAACCACAACAGGTAAAATCTAAAAAGATTTTATCACATTTTCCATTAATTTTTAATATTTACTGCATACACATTTATTGTAACATTCCCCTTATTTTTTAATGTGGTAATAAACAAAAGAGAGAATTTGGCATAACTTGGACTAAATCGATAATAGTTGGTTGGACATTGTAACTAGTGGCCATTGTAGCATAATTCTCATAATTTTCAAAACTAACACCGTCACTGTTCGCTATTGTCGTTAAGGACGCAATGACGTCACGTCATTTGGAACCAGGGCACAATAACCAATAACCACTTTTTTGCCCCGGGCAGCAATATGAGTAGGACAATTGTGCGGTTATAACATATGCAAAACCCAATGTTTTTGTAACAAATATGTAATAATTTAAAATACTTTTTAAGACATTGATGCAAACAATATCTTAAATGAGATAGAGATTGAACAAGATGATCGAACTATTAATTACAAGAATAATTTGCAATTACACTATACATTATCCTAAAATATTAATATTGACGATATGTCTGACAAACTGAATTGATTATAATGAATTTCTGAAGAAATATTAAACTCTAAAGTCTATAATTTTAATTAAATTCGTCTTTTCTTGTTAATAGTGGTTCCGTATGTCATTAACAACTGTTCGCTGAATGTAAAACACGATATATATGCATTTAACATCAGCTGAAGGGGGATTCTTGTAATAATACTATCGTTGTTATAACAACAGATATCAAAAGAATACAAGACACTGTTATTATGATTACACATCTTTTCCTTTTATACCCTTGTCTTGTACCCTGAAAGCAAAATACAATCATGGTTTATACATGAACATCATACAAAAAGTTAAAAGTCCATAGTTTTGAAAAATCGGCAGCTTTTTTGACTTAGCAGTATCATAATATGGACATATACCGATTATCAGATTTTTGCATAATGATATTTTACAATATCAGCTCCGAGGTCACGATATGAAATGCTATATATAGTTCCCCAACCTACAAAAGCTAAAGTTAAATGACGCGGCCCATATTGTCTCAAAAGCTTTTTTGGTGAGTTAGCGCAGTGAACGGACTGATCAAAGATTTTGTATTGAGTCGGGCAGTTGATATTTTGCAACATCTTAAACAAGGAAAATTTGATCATCGTTTATTGCATTAGGTTTGTGTTGTTTGCATGATTGAAACAATAGTTTTTATTTGTTTAACAAGCAAACCTGAAAACGAATGTGTTGTTTCAGGTAAAATTTATCAACGTCGGGTCAAACATTATATATCGTTAGTGATCAGTCCGGTTCAAAGTCTTAGTTTTTAGGTCAGAAACAATACCTAGTATGCCAATAAAAAAAGCCCTGATGTTGGATTTTACGAAGTGCTGAGCAGGTTGATACCTGGGTAGTGAATACTGATAAGTGAAATTAATGGATAGCTGTCGAACGTCGGTAAGTGATATTAATGGATGGCTGTTGAACGTCGGAAAGTGATATTAATGGATGGCTGTTGAACGTTTGTAAGTGATATTAATTGATGGCCGTTGGACGTCGGTAAGTGATATTGAATGGTTGACATACTTTTCCTCAAATTTAATATAGCTTGCTGTCTCACTGACATATACCCAACATCTCCTTTTATTCACAATGTAAACATCTAAACAAAATGCTGAAAATATAATATTCACACAACGATTGCAAGATATGTCGACAACACTCGATAAAATATCTCACAGCGAAAGGTTAGGGACTATGCTGCTTTCCCATCGAACATGCAAATGAGATACCACAGATGCAGTTTAATCTGCTTCAATTCTTAACTTTCATCTAGAAATTGACAATTAGGGGTTGACTGAGACCTAAACTTTACAACAAAAGAGATCATTTCAGCTTTCCCGTTGTGAACTTTTCATTTCCCAGCAGCTACATTCTAGTACCGCCTTTATTCGGAGTATATATCACCAATTGCGTTTCCTATCAGGATATCCTTGATAGAAGATTTTTTTTATCTAATAGCACTCAAGGTTATTTCAAAGTTGGAGTAATTCCTTCGAAAATTTTACGCACGCCATCATGATTCAGTTGACCATTATGGAATATATCTGTACATATGACCACTTAAAACGTAGCCACAATTACATCCTCTTTTTCCCGATTGTGCCATCACCGAATGCGACATGTCGTCGACTGTGTACTTGTAATGAACAAAAAGACACATGTCACTAGTGAAACAGCAGCAAGGTGATTACCGATCCAGAGCACCATAAATCATCCCTTCCCGCGATTTTTAATGGGTTTGAGTTTTTATGTAGTGATTTTGTGTACTGTTGTTTGTCTTTTCTTCTTTTTTTTTCTTTCTTTTTGTCATGGCGTTGTCAGTTTGTCTTCGACTTATGAGTCTCAATATCCCTTTGGTATTTTCATTCTCTAATGTTTAAGATTTTGTCATGTCGGGGCCTCTTATAGCTGACTATACGGTGCACATTTTGCTTATTGTTGCAAGCCGTACGGTGACCTATAGTTGCTTTAATCCCTGTTATTTGGATAGTTGTTTCATTAGCAATCAGATCATATCATACCATTGCCGTTACTGACACCCTTCTTCAGTGTATTACGTGTTATATATAGATTATTCTTGTTATCACTTATTTGATATTAAAGCTGTATAATTAAGACGGTATTACATACGATTTTGTCACTTTTTTTAAACAGAAAACAAAAATCAATAAAACATTTCAAACAGAGAATAAAATAATCTATCTGATCAATGATTTTTATGAAAACTTAAAAAGTGAGTTCTATGTAGAAGTTCCTTTTATATATTTATCATATCTTTTTTCAAGCAATCGGATCATTCCTTACAAAATATTCACAATTATCTGTCAAATATGTCTGAATAATGATGCAAGTGAAAGTTGTCCATTATATTCAAATGTTGATTGTAAGTTTGTTTTATTCCTTTTTGAGTAGAACAATTTGAGACTTGAATTATCAATACTTACTGTATGTAAACTACTCGAATTATCAATACTTACTGTATGTAAACTACTCGAATTATCAATACTTACTGTATGTAAACTACTCGAATTATCAATACTTACTGTATGTAAACTACTCGAATTATCAATACTTACAGTATGTAAACTACTCGAATTATCAATACTTACAGTATGTAAACTACTCGAATTGTCAATACTTACTGTATGTAAACTACTCGAATTATCAATACTTACTGTATGTAAACTACTGGAATTATCAATACTTACTGTATGTAAACTACTGGAATTATCAATACTTACTGTATGTAAACTACTGGAATTATCAATACTTACTGTATGTAAACTCGAATTATCAATACTTACTGTATGTAAACTACTCGAATTATCAATACTTACTGTATGTAAACTACTCGAATTATCAATACTTACTGTATGTAAACTACTCGAATTATCAATACTTACTGTATGTAAACTACTCGAATTATCAATACTTACTGTATGTAAACTACTCGAATTATCAATACTTACTGTATGTAAACTACTCGAATTATCAATACTTACTGTATGTAAACTACTCGAATTGTCAATACTTACAGTATGTAAACTACTCGAATTGTCAATACTTACTGTATGTAAACTACTCGAAGTATCAATACTTACTGTATGTAAACTACTCGAATTATCAATACTTACTGTATGTAAACTACTTGAATTATCAATACTTACTCGTTGAACATTCAATGATGACATAGAAGAGCTGTCTGATGAGTTGTCAGAGTTGCTGCATTCTATTTAACAGAAAAGTTATAAATTTTAGCAAATATGTTTGGAGTAAACTATTAGTATGTATATGAGACATGTTTTGTTAAATCTGTTTAGAAATGTTTTGGTTTAACTGTTACGAATATTCAATTTGTAATTCAGAAACATGATAGCAAAACAGAGATAAGTTGCTATGTCAACTCACCCCTTTATGACTCATTTGTCGTAACAGTTCTTTTAGTTAGATTAATTTTGTAATTTTCCCTAATGAACTACTATACTTCTGATTCTCGTTGGATGAGGGAGCTCTAAAATTTGAACAGCGCGAGAACACAAGTCTTCTCAAAATTCATGCATTTATAAATATATGGCTCGTATCCCTTAACTATTTTCGAGGGACATGGAATACATCTAGTGCAGTAATGTGAGCCGCAAAGTTCTTGTACGTGTTATTAGAATTGCACGCTCTACATATCTTCTATTCTTCTACTTTTCTTCAGGTGCCGTTTTGTTTAATTAAAAAAAAAAGATATTTTCAATTTGATTAATATAGCAATGTGAATATCATTTGATACCGTTTCATATCATTATTACTAGCTCCAGATTTCGATGTACGCTTAACTATCAAATGTTCAAATCGAAATGAGAAACTAGTTCAATATAATGATAATCAAACGATGTTGTCAAATTATATGACACATTTTTAAAACTTCCATTCTTGGACATTTAACTCTTTCCATCAAGATTAACTTTAGATAGTTTTGGTTATTCTTTTTAAGTCCTTTTTTTAGTCAATTAGTTCGGCCGGTATTTATACATTACTGGCTTTCAAATTTTTGTATTTGAGCGTTCCTGATGGAGGTAAAACCAAGATAGCGCTTCGGACACACCAAAATTTATAAAGTGTTATTTTCATTTGATAAAATTCACAAATAAAAAAAGAGATTCCAAGGGACAGTGAAAAATATCAGCCTCAGAAGAATAGGCGGCACGATGGTCACTAAGTCATGTTTTCGTGTGTAAACTTTATGACCATAGAGATGACGTCAACGTTTCTATAAAGAATCTTTCGTTCTGCAGCTTCCATGTAAGAATCAACCCTTTATTAACGAGTTTCTTAATAAAATGTAAACAACTAGAATATTGTATCAACTAGGATATATATACCGTTACTATATATACTCAAAGAAAGTTTAGTGTATATATGAACAGAAACTAAAATTTTCCTTGCAAAAAAAAAATAAATTGGGAGACTTTTTACCTCCAAATCTTAATCATTTTTTTTTAAGTTTTTTTTTTTTCTTTAGTCAATTCAATATCTTTTAAACCAGAAATGATGTTAATTTCAGTTAATTTTAGCAATTTCTATGTAGGTACGAGCCCTTAAAGTTTGATCTCAATGGAAGTGTTGTCAAACTTTCTTATATATTTATATGACTGCATATGCTGCTTGAATGTCGCTGAAAACAAATTTTAAATTTCATAATTGACAAAGTAGACTTTTTGGCCGAAGACTTTAGTTCTCTACCAATCCTCACTGCTATTGTCAAAATATGTTTTATTTTGCTCTTCTGATATTGTACTTACTCATTAACTCCTCAAAATATTAAGTAAAATGTATGAAACCGGAAGACATAAAATGATTATTATACAAAACATCTGAAGGACTTACCTGTCGCACCAGTTCCGACATCCGGATCTACTTCCCAAGGTTGGACGGCAATAAGATTATTTATGTTGTATAGAAGTTCTTGTAAATCACTTATATCTCTGAAAAAATTCAAGAGAATTGCTTTTAGGAATGAATGTATATCTTGCAAAATGTTTCATGGTAATGGTATTGTGATTACTATACTTTCTATTGAATATTTATAATTTTAAAGTAGTGAAAGACATTTTAGTGTGATTTTACAAATGTGTGGTTGATTTGGAATCGATCTTAATAAACTATTCTTGTGTTCTATAAATTGAATATAACTTAAACTTCCATGTACGAGTTTGAAAATTTGCAATTGTTTACGAGTAAACCTCTGTCGATAATTTGTTTGTACATTCAACTCTCTTTTTGGATATTTTCTTAGGTTCAATAAGAATTTATAATTTATTCACTGATATATTTGCGTTAATATTCACAGTTCATAAAATAAAACTTTGCTTAACCCAAACTCATCATATCTATAAAGTTCCTGCGGAACATACTATTGAATAGAAAGTCAGAAAAAAAAGTTATATCTACAAATGTAGGCGACAGCTTTTTTTTTAAACGCTTGTGTATGAATTTTTTGCGACACCTTCAAAAAATATTAAACTGGAAGAAAAATGTATTTATTATATTTCATTCATCCCGGACATGCTCCAAAATACACATATCACACCGAACGTGCAGACGACACGTGTTTCAAGGACAATCGACATCACTTACAATTGAGAGCAAAAGATAGAAGCCAATTACAAAATATATCTGGGGACAACAAATATAAAGGTATAGAAACGGAACACAAAACAGAAATAAATACTTTTAAAATAATTGTAATATTACATGTGTCACATGCGAAGTAGGACCAGTTTACCCTCCTGTGTTTTTTAAGCTGTGTTTTTTAGAGTGTTGTTTGTCTTTATAACGTTTTTCGGATTTTTCCCATGATTTTGTCGGTGTCTTTACAACTAACAAGTTTGATTTTCCCTTTGGTATTTCCCACGTCTTATTTCTATTCAGTTTACCTCTTGGGTTTCCTATCTTAACCTTGGATATGTATAACTAGTCAATATACTATGTCCCAGCTGTAACATATGAACATTACTGCCTATATAAAAAGTCCAACACATTCATAGATGTGCTATTTTGTCTTACATATCATTCCCACATGCCTCGCATTACATTTTTCTTTCAAAGTTTTGTCTTAAATACTTCATTCTCTGAACAATAAATTTCAACTCTCAACACGCGTGATAATAAAATCAATCTGTGAGAAATGAACTGACAGAAAAAAAGTATTGTCATAAAGTTTAATTATTTCATGGAACAACCTGCTGATTTGAGTCAATTTGTATTTCTTGTTAAATATTCTGATCAATATATTTGACGTAATAAATTGTTATTTTACCCGATAAGTTATCGTTTTTTTCGTCATTCTTTGTCATTTTTTTGTATTTTTGAATATTAATTCACTATAATAAACAATGCTTGTAATTTATTTTGCCAAGTTTCAGTTTAAATCAAAATGCATTTGCTTGACTCATTAAATTTTACATTACGTTCGACCGATACATAGTACATACGAATTACAATAAATGTTCTCAAACTAATTTGCTTGAATACGGATCGATTTTCCAATAAAACCATACTTATATATAATAAAAACTTTCAAATTAGGCAAAAAATCCAATAAATATTGCACATGCTAAAATATGTTGTTTGCAGAGTCCTCCAAATAAAAGCTTTGAACTAAAAGGAAAGACAATATTATAAACTTGATCGATAGATACTTCAAGTCGCAATTATTCTGTTCTATGTCTTATTAAAAAAAAAGGCTCTCCGCGAACCAACGGTGTTGCACTCACGATCAATGAAATATAAATTGCAGTTTTGAAACGCATACATCTGAGCTTTCTTGGTTGATTTATGCAATTGTCATAGTCCCGTAGTTAACAATGAACTAATACAGAATATGGAATGTCATCAAATGCCTTTCATAATAATAATTGTTCATGGTTGTTTCAGTATCGACAAAAAAAAACATTATACACTTGCAAAGTGTTACCAATTTATAAGTGAATAATTTTACCTATTCTAACACCGCACTCGGACTTCTTTTAAACTGAATTTTACTGTGCGAATTGCTGTGTGTTTGTTTATTCCACATTGGCTAGAGGTATAGTGGGAGGGTTGAGATTTCGCAAAACATGTTTAACCACGCCGCATTTTTGCGTCTGTCCCAGGTCAGGAACCTCTGGCCTTTGTTTGTCTTGTATGTTTTTTTTAATTTTTGGTTCATTTATATGTTTCGGAGTTTAGTTGACGTCCATTTTCGCTGATCTAGTATACATTATTGTTATGGGGCCAGCTGAAGCCAGGCTCCGGTGCGGGATTTTCTCGCTGTGTTGAATACCCATTGGTGGCCTTGGGCTGTTTTCTGCTCTTTGATCGGTTTTTTTTCTCTTTGACGCATTCCCCGTTTCCATTCTCAATTTTAATATATTGTTCCCGTCTATTCCGGCTATTAGATTTTGATGATCAATGTCGTTTTATGTATTTGGTATCGAACGAACCAAATGAAGGTTATTCAAGAAACACGTAAAAAGGTATCATACGGTAATATTGCGACCTACTTTTCTAATATTTTGATTTCCTCCGTTTCGGCTAGTTTCTTTTCACTTTGAGTATTATCTAAACTTTCCAAGGTTACGATGTGCTTCTTGCATATACTAAAAGGTTCGGCCCATCCAGTGTTAATAAGTATTTTGACATCTGAAAATACAATGTTATTTTTGACTTTATTTTATCTTATTTACCATATTACCTATGCTGCTACTGACGATGATACGTTGAAGTTAGTTTGAATAGATCATGGTCATCTTACCATTGCGGAATATTTGTGTTTGAAATTATGTTCCGTTTGTCTCCTTTGCTCAAATGTAATTTATAAGAAGAATTGCAGTTATCATGGTGTAACATTTTGAGAAGGAATGTTCACTCTTTCCTAGCATCCGTGTCCATTCCAATTTTATTTTGTTATTTCGAGCTACAAAAACCTCAATTATCGTATTATGTTGTTTTTACCTGTTTTCCTTCGGCGATTTTAGGGGGTATTAGAAAACCAATGTCATTTTTTCAATTGTTTTGTTCTTTTCTTGAAAGAAAAGCACAGAATTTAGAAACTATGAGAAGGTTTAATTTGATGATTGTGTCCGATTTTAAGCGTCTTTTAAGCTTTAGCCTCTAAACTATCAAGCAGTTTCCTACGATTAATATGTGTATAAAAAAGAAACTTATTCATTTTAATACATATGCCTATCTTGAGTGCTGATAAATTCTTATTTTTTTGTAAATTAAAATCTGTGAAAGCAACCTAAATGTTAGTTTTACCTGAGTGCAGAGGAAATTCTCGTTGAACAAATAAAGTTTTCACAAGCTGAATTTCAAAATATTCCAGACAAGCTGAGAACATATTATATATCTTTTCCAAGTCTTTCACATCCTCTGGACATAAGAGTTTACTAGAAAAAAACACAAAGAGATTTCTATAAAATACACACAAAGTTTACTGGAAAATACACAAAGAGTTTATGAAATAAAACAAATTTCTGAAGATGATGCATGTGTAACCAAAATTTTTCGGTAGAGGTAAAGTTACATTATGCAAAAAAGTAAAGTTATCTACTTTTATCAAGTAACTCACTTTCTGAGTGTTGGTACAAGTTTCAAACGATTGGTACGAGCAAGCTCGATTGCCTGTATTCGCATTCTTTTTAACTCTTCCCTCAAATCATCGGAGTCCTGAGATCCTCCTAGACACACAACATGTGTACAGTAAACAGCAGTTAAGTGATTAAGCTCAGCTACATACTAAAACAAAAGAAAATTTTCATTATTATTATTATTATTATTATTATTACTGTTGATACTGGTCTTATTATTGCTTTAGATATAGCTGACTGTTAAATTGGTGATTATAATGTTAAGGAAATTATTGAACCAATGCTTGCATAATTAGTGAACTAAGTCCTCTGTGCACGTTGTTTTTACACTTATTACGAATTAATAACGTATAATCGACAAAGAGCATTTCATTCGATGATTGATGATCGAAAACTTTGGCTGCTAATTAACGTTCGTGTTTTTGGGGCCGAAGTTTACCGATCGTGTGCTTGAAAAACAATCAACACAGAATCATGAAGCAGGTGCTTTATAAGTGAGACGATACGATGTTTATTTGTTCTTTTTTTTATAATTTCAATGGGTTCCAATTTATTCATTTAACTTTTTCATACCATTTGTTAAAGGATTTGGTGTATTAAATATTTTCTTTCAGAATCGGTTAATACTTTCTTCCTTCCACGTATTTACTTTTTGTTCCATCACAAGTTTTCCCTTCGTACTTGCACTGTGCGATTTCCCAAATTCTAACAAGAAGTTTAAAGGTTAAGGTCACTGCAGACTGAAAAGCTGTCGGCGAATTAGAGTACGGGAGAACAAGAATTCAATATTTTGTTAAATGCGCTGTTCAAAATTGAATTCTCAAGAAAATTTTATCTGGGAAATTCTGGATCTTGTGCAAGAAAAACCTTTCTTGACTAACATAAATACCGATTTTCCATAATATGAAAATATCAACTATATCAAAATCTAAGATCAAACCTTTGAATATAAGTTTTAAAAACAGGCCGACGAACCTTATCAAAACCATTATTAAAAAAGTTGGAAAAAACGGGAGCAATCAAAATTTTCAATTATATCATGAATGCATCCTTAAAACTTTGAAAGAGTTAACGTCAACCTTAGTATTGAGAACATTTGGATCAATAGCTTCCTTGACAACAACAACCCTCTATTGAGGAAATCATATAGGAAAAACACTCAATATGCAGGAGCTGCTGGAATGTTGCTGCATGAAATAAAATGTTCACAAATTAAACATAAATCGTTTCTTTTATTGTTAAGTATTGCTTTCAACCAATCCTCACTGTCAATTTGTAAGTAGACCTAAATGTACCCACGTTAGTTTGTAAGTAGACCTAACTGTACCCACGTTATCTTTTACTTCATTACTTTGATATTCAATGGGATGACCAATTCAAACGTTTGAATTTCGATTAGTATGAGAATTTGGAAAGAATGCATCAAGTACGTTTTCCAGACGCAAAGTTGTAACATTAAAATAGCAGAAAAAGTTATATATATTTAATTCTATTTTCAGTCTTGCTCCAAATCAACTATTTCGGAAAAGAAAGACTAGCTTGCAAGTTTTAAGAAATCTGTATAGTATCATAATATGCTACCATACATGCGTTCTCTTTGAAAATGAATAGTAACAAGAGAGATATACTCCGTATGAAGCGCCTGCATATCGATCACAGATCTCCCAGTTGATACGATATTCTAGAGCTTGCTAATCTATCATGATTTCTTTTGTAGAGGCTTGCTGCTTACAAGGAAGCTATTAAATCAAAGGTTCCAAGTGCTTAAGTTGAGGTCATACATTTGAAATTTTAAGACCGCCTTCACAAATTGGTTGACCGTTATGGAACATCTGTTTCACAGATAACGACGGATATGTTCCAATTGTCGTAACCATAATCCCGTCCTTTTTTTTGACAGTAATATCACCGAATTAGACTTATCACTGCATGTATGCATACATGTGCAACACGACGGGTGCCACATGTGGAGCAGGATCTTCTTACCTTTCCGGAGCACCTGCAATCACTCCGGTTTTTGCTGGGGTTCTTGTTGTTTAGTCTTTAGTTGTTGTATTTTTGTAGACTTTTCTGCTCTTTGGTAGGATTGTTGTCTCTCTGACACATTACTCCTTTCCATATGGTATTTTTTTCTTTATTTTGCCTCCCTTTAACAATCCAATTTGAGTAAACAGATAATCTGAACAGGCCTTGAACTGGGAAAATGGTGTTCAGATCAAAGTAAATAAAAATATCAAAGTGTTCCAAAATCAAATATTTAACCTCTGATACGTAATATTGTTTTCGGCGATTCGAATCGTAATATTGTTTTCGACGATTCGAATGACGTACAGTCAGCAGAAAATAAATAAAAGTACCAAACTTAATGGCACAACAATATCATATTGACTTATTTTACGACAATAGTCTTGAAGGCTTAATTAGTTCTCCTTGATCCTTAAGATTATATCGTACAGGATAATACCATTTTATTCTTATTTTATTCATTAACACTATTTAGATGAATATTTCCTGTTCAACTTTTAATCAATAGCATCCTTCGGAACACGTGCCAAACATTGCTGAGGAAGATTTAGAAGCGACTTCTATATAGAACATTTCAGTTTATCACAGATAAGAGAAAATGTTATATTAGAGGTTTTTTTTATATGTTAGAAATTTATTAGGTTATAACTTAATCTAAATGTTCGGGTTAGATGAAGATGAAATAATATCAAGTATTGGATATTCGAACAGTCTGCAAGTATGGTTCCTAGTGTAGTTGGAAATTTAAAATCTGATTAAATACAGACTATGTGTAAGAGCTTCGCTTTCAAGGATCTGACAACACTCTGTTCTAATTTCTGTTCTGGTAATTAATACATCAGCCAATGAAATTTCATCCTCAAAATTTTTGAAGGTGTGTATCATTACGACAAAACCAGAAGACCCCGAAAGGTCTCTAAAACAGAAAGTAGAACAAAACTTTGTCAGATCCTTGAAAGCAAAGCTTGGACAGGGATCTCTGTATTTAATCAGATTAGGAAATTTATTCTTGATGTTCTTTATTCTTCTTTTCAAATTATCTTGAGTGCTTTATGCATACAAAGTGTTTTGATTGAAGAGCAAGAAATTAAAAAAAATGTCACTGAATCAGAAAAAAAATGGGACAAGGTCGGTGATTCTCTCCAATCTCTCCTGCTTCCTTGGCCAATCAAAACTGACCGCCATATAATAGCAAATTAGTGCTGAAAGTGGCGTTAAACACCAACTAATCAATCAATCATATTGGCTCTCAATAATGACAACTTCAGTATGTATACTAAAGAAATTTATCCTGTTGAACTTACTTTAAATAAAGCTAATACTAACAATGACCACTGTCCTTTCCTCGATCTTGATATCTATATCATTAACGGGAAGCTTAATACAAAAATTTATGATAAAAGAGATGATTTTTCATTTCCTATCGTTAATTATCCATTTTTAGATGGTGACGTTCCCTTGTCACCATCTTATGGTGTTTATATATCTCAACTTGTACGATTCGTGTATGTAACAACGTATTAGATTTTAGCGAGAGAAATTTATATATTACTGAAAAATTATTACACCAGGGTTTTCGATATCATAAACTAGTCAAAACATTTACTAAATTTTATCATCGGTATAAGGACATCATTCGTAAATATAACTCAACAGACAGACATCTTATACGTTCGGGTATTTCACATCCAATCTTTTATGGTAATATTCTTTACAAAGTACAAACATGTCAGTATTCACCTCAAAAGCTAACAAAACCTTTAAACAGACTTATTAAGAAGGGATATAGTTACGATACTGTTGTCAGGTCATTAAAGATTGCATATTTTGGCTTTAATATTGATTCACTTATAGGGTCTTTGCATCGGAATTAAACATATTTATTCTAAAACCAGTTGTTGGCATGACACGGGTTATGTTCTTCTCATATATTTTATGACGGTATAATACTAAACCCCTAACAGGAGGGATTGTGCCTGATATTCATCTGATGAAGACATAATCTTTCAATCAGTTTAATTGAGGTCTGGAGCTGACATGTCAGTAACTGCTAGTAGTCTGTTGTTATTATGTATTATTGTCATTTTGTTTATTTTCTTTTGTTTCCTATTCTGACATCGGACTCGGATTTCTCTTAAACCGAGTTTTACTGTGCGTACTGTTGTACGTTTGTTTTTTCTACATTGGCTAGAGGTATAGGGGGAGGGTTGAGACCTCAAAAAACATGTTTAACCCCGCCGCATTTTTGCGCCTGTCCCAAGTCAGGAGCCTCTTGCCTTTGTTAGTCTTGTATCATTTTTAATTTTAGTTTCTTGTGTATAATTTGGAGTTTAGTATGACGTCCATTATCACTGAACTAGTATACATATTTGTTTAGGAGCCAGCTGAAGGACGACTCCGGGTGCGGGAGTTTCTCGCTGCATTGAAGACCCATTGGTGGCCTTCGGCTGTTGTCTGCTCTATGGTCGGGTTGTTGTCTCTTTGACACATTCCCCATTTCCATTCTCAATTTTAATCAACCAATCAATCACAATTTTGTAGTCAAAACAAAAATATAGTCATTGGGTTATGAATATATAAATTAACTGCACACTATAACAATAAGGAGTTGTGGTATGATTGCCAATGAGACAACTGTCCACCAGAGACCAAATGTATGCAATTTTATGTCACCGTACGGCCTTTTACAATGAGCAAAACACATACCATGCATATAGTAAGATATAAAAGGTCCCGACATGACAAAATGTCAAACGCGAAAACCAACGGCTTTATTTACAATAAAAACAATTATAGACGGCAAACAAATATATTACTAAATTATGTATTTATTTTGATTTCCTGTCCATAGTGCGCATTATTTGTATTTTATTAACTTTGTACTAAAAACACGATTAATTGATTACAGCGTTGAAATAAATTTTGAATTCATTATTTGCAATGCTTCGCCTAGCCAACTTTATATGAACAACAATCTCTATGACAGAGAACAGAAAAACAAGCAAAATTGTAAAACCATTTAAACAGTAGAGAATAAAACAAAGAATGTTCAACTGCGACCATTCTATAACGACTGCTGATGTTCTTGTATGTCAAAAACAATGTCATTTCTTAAAAACACTT